CCCGGGCTGTTTGCACTGGGTGGGAAAGAGGGGTAAAACCAGGGGCAGGTGGGTGGCTGCGGGGTGGGGCCGAGCTGGGTGAGCGAGGTCTGTAGGCACAGGGGTGATAAAAGGGGAAATAAAACAGTCCCTTCCTCGTCTGGCAGGGGGTCCCGGTGGCTGTGGGCTGTCACAGCGTGGCTTTTGGGGACACTGTGTGCAGTGCAGCTGGGCAGGGTCACAGCCAGGCTGTGCTGGGCGCCTTGGGAGGCAGACCCTGGGGGCCCAGGGCTTCATCCCACCCCGCTGGATGAAGGTGATCCTGACTCCTGAAAATGCCTGGAGGCTCTGGGGCACTGCTGTCCTGGGCACCAGGCTGGTTGCAGCCCCTGCCCACCCGAGTTTGGGGTGCAGGAGTGACCCAAAATCAGGGCTGGATGTTTTGCCTTTCCCTTGTGCCCGTGCTGGCTGTGCACGCTGTGCCCAGGGCCAGGTTTGGAGGGTGGCTCTGTGGCCCTTGTGTGGGATCTGCATTCACTCAGTGACTCACAAAAAGCAGCATAAATTAATTACCTTCCTGGTTCTTGGCTTTGCCTCGTAATTAGCGACAACAAAATAATGAGGCTCGAATGAAACATTTGGTTTGTTCTGGAGGAAATTGTTTTGCTTAGAAGCACTTTCTGTACCTGTGCCTTAACACAAAAAACAAGAAGTCAACTTCTCACCAGGAAATGGCATTTTGGGGTGGAAAATCAACGCTTTTCCGTTCTGGACATTGAAGCCACTGGGTGCTTAAAAGGTTGCCCAAATCAACCCAGGCTGCTGAAACCAACCCAAAAAAGCTGCACTGGGGTGACCTGGACCTGCATTAAAACCCTGCCTGCTCCCTGGTGAAACAGAAAAGGGTTTGGCAAAGCCCAGACTGCGTCACGGCCCCACGTGTGCCCTCCCAGTGGGGTGGCTGGGGGAATAAGCCAGCTTGGAGCTCTGTGGGGCTGGAATTTCAGGGCACGTGGTGACGTTGGAGCTTGTGAGAGGCAGTGAGTGTAATTTAAGCGCAGTGGTTTTACCCCTCTCCTGGCAGGGTGACACCAGCCCTGGCCTCGCTCTATTTATAGGTGTAAATCACCGGCTCTTTAATTCCTTTTGAGCAAGTTCAATTTCCATCCCCTTCCCTCGAGGCTTCTCCGGTACATTGGTGCAGCTCCCTCCGTTCCCCTTGTTCCCTGCCTTTGCAGGGAGCTGCTGGATCCGGCTCCGTTTTCCAAGGGAGAAGCACAGCAGAGACCCCCCGACATCCCCATGGCCCTGCTGGAGGCCACAGCAGCCAGCAGAGCCTGCCTGATCTTTGGGCAGCTGCTGGTCAGGCCAGGGAAGAGAGAAATCCACTGTGCTTTTTTCTGAGGGCGAAGGATAAATGGAAGAAGCTGCAGCCAAGCTCTGGAGAACTGGGCTGGATTTTCCCCTGGGAGCCAGTTGCAAAATGTTGTGTCACTGCATCGCCATCCTCACAGGGCTGTAACCCTGCTGGGGTCTTACCCCCATCTTTGACCTGCCCAAAACAAGCGTGGGAAAGCCAGATCCCAGGGGCTCGGAGCTCTGCAGACCCTGGAGCCCAGCCCAGCCCTCCTTCCCTTCCCTTCCCTTCCCTTCCCTTCCCTTCCCTTCCCTTCCCTCCCCAACACCAGAAAGAAGGGCATGGTGCTGAGTCACAGCTCGTGGATCACTTGTCCCCAGGGCTGGTGACACATCTGTGATTTTGGGCTCAGCCAGCACAGTGTGGGCTCTCCGTGGTGCCTGTGTCCCACGGGAAGGTGTGCCCACCTGCTGCATCCCTCAGCTGGCATTGCTGCTGTCCCCCTGCAGGGCCCACGCTGCCAGCCTGGTGTCCTGCAGGGTTCGGGTGGCCTTTGGAGGGCCGGTGCTGTCAGACCCTGGTCTGCTCCAGCCCTGCTCTCTGCAGTGTCCTTCAGAAGGGCAGCCCTTCTGAGCATGCCTGCTCCCCCTGCGCCTCCTTCCCAGACCCTGGGCTGCTCCCAGCCCCCTGCAGCCCCCACCTGGGGTCCCCAGGGCTGCAGAGAGCATCTCCTGGGGGGCTTCACCGCCCCCTGCCCAGAGCGACCCTCCATCCACCACCTCCTTCAGAACAGAGTCCCCGGGGGTGGGAGAGCTCCCAGCCCTGGTTAATAATTGAGTGATTCCTCCAGCCTGCCTGCTGGAGCCTGCAGCTGCTGCAGTAAACCTGGCCAGGATGGGGGGTTTGTGTAAGCACTCTCCTTTTCGTGCCTCCCCTTGGCTAGCAGGATCATCCTGGAAGCATCCTGGCTCCCCGAGGCCGTGTCCCTTCGTGGGCGCTTGGGAATGTGGGCTGAAGCCTCAGGAGCATCCGGCTTAACCATGAACGTGCCAGGCCCTTCCAGCTGTGCCCTGTCCTCCCTTCCCTCCTCCCTCCCTGTCCGGCAAATCCACTGACCCCAAAATAAAGACCAGAAACGCTCAGAAGCTGCAGAACAAACTGTGTCAGAGCCAGCTTTCCCTGCCCGAAATCTCCTTCATTTGGAGGATGGGATCTCCTCCAGGTCTGCAAGTGCTCAGAGTGTGGTTAAACTGGGGTTCCTGTCCCCAGTTCCTTTCTGCCCCCACCCAAGGAGTTGCTGCCCACCAGTGAGTGATCCCTGAGTGTGCCTTGCTGGGCACGTGGGAGCTGGCTGCCTGATGTGGGCACGGAGCTGTTTTCATAGGAACTGTTATCTCCTGGATTTCCTTTTCTGTGTTTGCTCAAGCCCTTGGGGTTCATGTTTAACTCAACTGTCTCACTTTTAATGGTTCTGCTGGTGTTTGATGCTGGTGAGAGGGAGCTGCTCCCATGGAGTTTGTTTGCCAAAGGAGGAAGCTTGGGTGACTGTGCGTGCCCTGTGCTGGGGATTTAGGGGTCAGGGGTCACATTATTATTATTTTATTGTTCCTATTATTATCATAATCATAATCTTTAAAGCCATTATCAAGGCTTATTCCCCTTTCTGCTGCCCCTGGATGTGCCTGTGCCTGGGCATTCTCATCTCCCAGCATCCTGCCACAGCCTTCCTCATCTTCCAGGAGGGAGTTCGGGCTCAGGGCTGGGATCAAAGCAGCTCACCCTTGCCTGGCCTCATCCTTCCCATCAGTCACCCCATCCCAAAGTGGGATGCTGGCTCCCGCCAACAGATTGGTACCAGTGAGCTCTGGGATGCTCTAAAAATACTGAGAGGAGCAAGCAGGGAGCAAAAAATGGCTGAGATTCAGTGAAATCAAAGGCATAATTAAAATGCAGCCCGTGTAAGTGTATTTTTAGGGCCCTACAAAAAGGCTGTAAATCACTGAATTCCCATCAGCACACGAATGTTCCAGTTTAATGGAATCCTGGGGCCTGTGGGGAAGAAGTGAGAGATGCTTAATTGTCAGTGTTTGTGTTTTATTCATGATTGAACATCCTTAGCAAGCAAAAACTGATCTGCTGTTGGCTTCTTGCTGCTTGTGTGGCTTTAAGCCTTACTCCAGCCAGAAATTGCCCGGTGTGCTGGAAGGGTCGGTGCTTCCCAGGGTTTGCATGAGCTGTGCATGGAAAAGGGATTCCCAGCTCCCCTGCCATGGGGAGCTCGGTGCCAGGGCTGCCTTGGGGTGCTCAGAGCTTGTGTGGGCTCCAGGGGATCCAGGAAAGAAGAACAGTCCCATGGTGAATCAGGAGCTGCATCCGGGCTGGGAAGCCCCTGAGTGCAGGTGCCTGGGTGTTGGGAGTGCCTTGGGACAGAGTCTGGATGTTCCCAGCTCCTCCTGCCTCCCTCGAGCTGTTTGCTGGGCTTGGTGCTGCTGGGGCAAAGCACAGCCAGACTCCTTCCAGCATCCCTCCAGCTCCAGGGACCTCTGCAGCAGCTGGAATGGCTCCTGGAGCCTCGGGTGTGATGAATCCTCTGGGTCTGCCCATGCTGAGCCTGTTCCTGCAGCTCAGGTGGAATCTGGGGCTAATCCTCCCCCAGGGACCTGCGTGGGGCTGGGCTGGGGGCTGTGAGCCCTTTTCCCCTGGGGTCTCTGTGCAGGTGGAGGAGGGATGAGCTGGCTCTGGCACAGATGTGGCCCCTGCGGGCTCGGGGGGGATCTGGCTCGTTCTGGAGGGGATTTAATCTGTGGTGGAGTTGCTGCAGATGGCACGGCCGGAAGGAACGGAGGAACACGGCATGCCAAGGCAGGGTTCCTTATTTTAAACTGCTTCCCTTGCCAGGGAACAAATATGCCTCGCTTCAAAATAATAATTATAAGGCTTGGGAGGAGATCCAGGGAACCCAAAATCCTTCTGTGGGTGTTGGTGTGCTGGCAGATGCCCGGCTGGGGGTGTTTGGTGGGAATGTCATCCCAGAAGGTCAGGGCTGGCTCAGGGAGCTGTGCTGGGAGTTGTGCTGTGATTGGAAAAGGGGGAAATGTGTTCCCTGTCACCTTGCACCCCGAGGAGGCATCCTGTCCCTGCTGCAACCAGCCGTGTGAAACCTCCAGGAAGGAGAATTGCATCCTGAATCCACCAAGCAGCAGCTGCCATCCACATCCCGCAGTGCCCTGTGCCAGGGATGCCCGGGATGGGCGCTGTGCCTGGCAGCAGTGCCACTGTGGGCAGGCTGCTGTCTGATGGGAGGGAAGTGCCACTGCCTGCATGTGCCCGGGGGCAGTGCTGCTGTGGCAAGAGCTGGAGCCAGGGCTGTTCATGTGGAGAGAGCTGCCTGTGCTGCAGGGCTGTCACAGGCCTGACGCCCAGGGAGAGACCCTGGCGTGTCCCAAGGGTGGCTGTCACCTGCTGCTGGGACTCCCAGGGTTCTGACACCAGAAGTACCAGGTCTGGTTAAGCTGCAGTTTCCACTTGACAGAGCAGGGCAGGAGGGGAAACTGAGGCACACAAGGAGTGATGGGTCAGGAGGAGTGCAGGGAGGGCTGGGAGCTGGTCCCTGCAGACAGCATCCTCCATTCCTGTGTGTCTCCCGTTCTCTGCCCCTCTCCAGGCTTCCACGTGATCCCGTCAGTGTCCAGCATCGTTCCCGAGAGCTGCCTGCTCATCGTGGTCGGCCTTCTGGTGGGGGGGCTCATCAAAGGGGTGGGTGAAAAGCCCCCCATCCTCAAGTCGGACATCTTCTTCCTCTTCCTCCTGCCCCCCATCATCCTGGATGCCGGCTACTTCCTGCCCCTGCGCCCCTTCACCGAGAACCTGGGCACCATCCTCATCTTCGCCGTGGTGGGCACGCTCTGGAACGCCTTTTTCCTGGGGGGGCTGATGTACGCCGTGTGCCAGCTGGGCGGGCCCGGCCTCAACCACATCGGCCTGCTGGCCAACCTGCTCTTCGGCAGCATCATCTCGGCCGTGGACCCGGTGGCCGTGCTGGCCGTCTTCGAGGAGATCCACATCAACGAGCTGCTGCACATCCTGGTCTTCGGGGAGTCGCTGCTCAACGACGCCGTCACCGTGGTGAGTGGCCCGGCCCAGAGCGGGGTGGGGGCGGCTGTCGGGGCCATCCCGAGCTGCCAGGTGCCTCCTGCAGCTGCGCTTGGGCCAAGCCTCGTCAGGTGCAAAGATAAAGATAGAGCTTAAAACACCGCAGGGGTGGGTTGGGGTGGAGTGTTTCTCTTGGAGGGCTGGGGAGGCTGAGGGCCTGGTCAGCCTCTTGGTGCCGTGGGCTCTGGGAGTCTGCTCTCCTGGCTGGAGCTGCTGTGTGCCCGTGCCTGTCCTGCCCGGGACAGCAGCAGGGGCTGGCCCTGGGGCAGGCAGAGCTGCCCTGTGGCTGCTGCTCCGGCCGTCTCCTCTCACGTGGTCACCCTTGCTGTCCCCCAGCTCCCAGGAGGTGGGAGAGCAGCACATCAGCCGTGGCAGGGGGAGACCTGGGGGGGCTGAAGGCAGGCTGGCAGCCCACCTGGGTCGCCCCTCAGCCCCGCTGCAAGCAGCAGCTTTGCAGGGACCTTTGGGAGGTGGGGCCAGGCCTGCTCCCCTTCCAAAGGACATCACTGTCCAGGTGCTGGCTTGGCTGTCAGCGTGGCCTTCTCCTCTCTGCAGAGCTGACCTCTAAGCTGACTCCCAACCCACTGCTTTTTCCTGGCTCTTTTCCCATATCCCAGCTGTCCATTCCGGAGCTGGCTGCTCAGCCCCTGCTGACAAGGTTCCTGGTGACAAAGAACACTCTGTCCCACCACGGGGCTTTTTCCAGGCACTTCTCCCCCATTTTCCAGCAGAGGGGTGCCTGCAGGGTCTGTGTCCCCACTCTCATCCCTGGGGAATGCTTTTGTCTGCCCCTGTCCCACCCAGGGCTGGCCCTGGCAGGCAGGAGCTGGCACCTTGCCCTCTCCCTGCCTGCAAGTGCTGCTATTCCTGCAGGATGCCCTAAATCCCATCCTGACATGTGCTTTAACATCTCTGCAGTGTCTGGGGGTGGAGAAGGCAGCAAAGCCCAGTCTTTCCCTCAGGTTTCCCTCAGCTGCAGAAGCCACCTCAGGGGTTTGGGCTCTTCTCTGGGCTGGGCAGGGCAGATGGGGGCTTTTCTCTCCGTGCATCTGTCAGGAGTTCCCCAGCCTGGATCTGTCCTGACCTGCTCGTTGGGAAAACAGGAACAGCCTCTGGCTGGTGACCAAAGGCCCTCGTGGCACAGCTGGAGAGCAGAGCTGTCCCAGACACATCTTTGTGTGTCCCTGTGGGCACAGAGCACAGGGAGCTGGTCCCCCCGGGTCTGTGTCTGGCACAGCAAAGCACCAGCAGCTGCTTTTGGTGTGAGCCTTGGTCGAGCACCCGGCTCAGGGTCACCAGGCAGGGACACAGCTCAGCTCAGGCGTGCCACACTCCCAAGGGAGGTCCCTGGGCAGGTCTCTGAGGTGGGGACCCCTTACCAGAGGAACAGTTTGAACCCTGCTCTCCTTTCTCCCTGCCAGGTCCTGTACCACCTCTTTGAGGAGTTTGCCAGCTTCGAGCAGGTGACCATCCTGGACATCATCCTCGGCTTCCTCAGCTTCTTCGTGGTGTCCCTGGGCGGGGTCCTGGTGGGCGTCATTTACGGGGTGATCGCCGCCTTCACGTCCCGCTTCACCTCGCACATCCGCGTCATCGAGCCCCTCTTCGTGTTCCTCTACAGCTACATGGCCTACCTGTCTGCTGAGCTCTTCCACCTGTCCGGCATCATGGCGTGAGTGGGCACGGGCAGGGAGCTGTCCCAGGGCCTGGGGGATTGGGGGACTGTGTGACCACGGCCGTGCTGGCTGGCCCAGCGTGCCCAGTACGTGCCCAGTGAGGCCCAGGGGTGTGTTTGGGCTGGGGGGTGCAAGGAGGCACACCAAGAAGTGAGGCTGGGGAGTTGTCCCCCGGGGTGCTGGCAGCCTGTCGCTGTTCTCCTGGGCACGCAGGAGCAGGCAGGGCCTGCTGAGCGCTCAGGACGCCGTGGCTTTGTGCTCCAGTGCTCACTCCTGCCCTGCCAGGGGAAGGAGAAACCTCGTGTTGCCTTCTCTGGAGGCCTTGAATATTTGCTGATGGTTCCCGATGCCTGTCCTACCCTGGAGTTTGGTGTCACAGCACAAAATGCTGGTGCAGGGCCAGGGCTTGGGGCTGTCCCCATGTCCCCATGGCTGCTGAGGGCCCCAACCTCACCCCCAGGCTCATCGCTGCTGGTGTGGTCATGCGGCCCTATGTGGAAGCCAACATCTCCCACAAGTCCCACACCACCATCAAGTATTTCCTCAAGATGTGGAGCAGTGTGAGCGAGACCCTCATCTTCATCTTCTTGGGTGTCTCCACCGTGGCTGGTCACCACTACTGGAACTGGACCTTCGTCATCAGCACGCTGTTCTTCTGCCTCATCGCCAGAGTGCTGGGTGAGTGTCAGTGCTGACAAAGCCCTCGGGTGGTGAAAGAATCATGGCATGGATTGGGTTGGAAGGGACCTTAAAGCCCATCTCGTTCCAGCTGCCATGGGCAGGGACACCTTCCACCATACGGGGCTGCTCCAAGCCCTGTCCAACCTGGCCTTGAGCGGCCAGCTGGGTCGTGGTGATGGTTTGCCTTGCTGGGGAGGCTGGAGAAGCCTGGGTGGCACTGCTCCACCGTGGGCACCCCCCATGCTGGTGGTTGGTGTTGTGGGGAGATGGGGCTGAGGCCGTGGTTGTGCCACACGTGGGGTGGAAGCTGCTCAGGGATGTTGAGATGAGCAGACGGCTCTCGCCTGCACCCACGGCCCTGAGGGGCTGCAGGGTGGGCTCTTTGGGCCTGGAGGGGATCCTTGAGCACTCCCACAGGACTGTGCTGCTCCCCCAGGTGTCCTTGTCCTCACCTGGTTCATCAACAAGTTCCGGATCGTGAAGCTGACGCCGAAGGACCAGTTCATCATCGCCTACGGGGGCCTGCGGGGAGCCATCGCCTTCTCCCTGGGCTACCTGCTGGACTACAAGCACTTCGGCATGAGGGACATGTTCCTCACTGCCATCATCACTGTCATCTTCTTCACCGTCTTCGTGCAGGTTGGTGGCAGCCGGGCTGTGCTTTCAGAGGGAAAGGGGGCTCTTCATGGCCGTGTGGAGAGTGGGGAGCCCATCGCCAGCCTCCCTCCCTGACCCCGTCACTGCACAGTGACACCGACAGCGGTTTGGCTTTGCTGAGCCCATCCCACTCCCAGCCTGTGCCTCGGGCAGAGGTGTGACCCCCGTCCCCCTCCCCAGGGCATGACCATCCGGCCCCTGGTGGATCTGCTGGCTGTGAAGAAGAAGCAGGAGACGAAGCGCTCCATCAACGAGGAGATCCACACGCAGGTAACGCGCCGCTCCGGCCGCCCCGCGCTGCCTTAGCCCTCTGCTCTCTCTGCTTCTGCCACTCCACCTCTGTCACTGGGACCTGCCCCTAAATCAGAGCCCAAGGTAAGGGGGCAGAGCGAGGGCTCTCCCCTGTCTGTGTCGTCCAGTGCCCGCTCTGACCCACACCCCCGCTGCCCACAGAGCCAAGCCTGGTTGTGTGGGTGCATCCTGCCCTCCCAAAGCCCATCCTGGACCCACAGCCCTGATTTTACACACCCTGAGTGCCCTCCCCATGTGTCATTGTGGGTATCAGGGGAGGGAGAGGGTTCCAAGAGCCCTCCGAGCTGCTCATGCCTTGGACCATCTCTTCCAGTTCTTGGATCACCTTCTGACAGGGATCGAGGATATCTGTGGTCACTACGGGCATCACCACTGGAAGGACAAGTGAGTGGGGAGGTTTGGGGGCTGGGGAAGGGTTTCAGTCACCACCAGAAGGTTTCACAGCTCTGTGCCAGGCTTTAATATGCAGACTCACCATGGGGAATTATGGCCCTGGACTGGGAGCAAGTAGGGCTGCAGGGCTGCACCCCTTGGCCACAGCACCCACAGCAGGTCCGTGGCAGGGTGGGAGCTGCCAGTGGCCAGTCCCTGCAGGAGCTCAGGACCATCCCTAGTGGGTACCAGCAGGTGCTGGCTGTTGTGGAGACACCCTGGCTGGGGAGGGATTCAGGGAAGCGTGGCCTGAGCCGTGCTGGTGGAACTGGACCCAGCAGTGAGCCCAGCAGTGCTGTCCTGGGCAGGGCTGGGGAGTGGGAGTGGGAGTGGGAGTGGGGTGTGGGGAGTAGGAATGGGGAGTGGGGAGTGGGAGTGGGGAGTGGGAATGGGGAGTGGGAATGGGGAGTGGGGAGTGGGAGTGGGAGTGGGAGTGGGAATGGGAGTGGGACCGGGGCCAGGGCTGAGCTGTGGCTGCTCCTCCCTCCTGTCCCACGCTGCGGGAAGGCTGAACCGCTTCAACAAGAAGTATGTGAAGAAGTGCCTGATCGCAGGGGAGCGCTCCAAGGAGCCCCAGCTCATCGCCTTCTACCACAAGATGGAGATGAAGCAGGCCATCGAGCTGGTGGAGAGCGGCGGCATCGGCAAGATCCCCTCTGCCGTCTCCACCGTCTCCATCCAGTGAGTTCCCTGCCCCGGCACCCTCCCGTGGCACTGGGTGCTCCCTGCTGGTGGCCAGGGGGCAGGCAGCCCTCGTGTGTCCCTGAATCCTGTCTGTCCGTGCAGGAACATCAACCCCCAGACCCTCCCTTTGGAGCGCGTCCTTCCAGCCCTGTCCAAGGACAAGGAGGAGGAGATCCGGAAAATCCTCCGCACGAACCTGCAGAAAACCAGGCAGAGGGTGAGGTGTCCCCTGGTGCTGTGTGTGTCCCCTGTGCCACGCTGGGAGTGCCAGGGACACTGCCCACCAGCCCTCAGCTGGGCCCTTCACCCCTGCTGTCCCTGCCTTGTGCTCCTGGGCTGACTCTTCTTCCCCAGGAGGCTTTTCCTCCTGGGATGGTGCTGGGATAATCTGAGGGCTGGGCTGATTTGGTCAGTGGCTGAGCCCAGCCTCTAAACCCTCGCTGGGCCAGGGTGGGTCAGGATCAGGCATCCCGTGGTGACACACAAGGGACGAGCCACCAGCCTGCCTGGACCTGCTCTGCCCACTGGTGGCTGTTCCATCCATCTCCAGGAAGGATGGGGCTGTGACCTTCCTCTCCCTGTCCGTGTGGGGTTTTAACCCTTCTCCTTTTCCCGGGCTCTCTTCCCAGCTGCGATCCTACAACCGGCACACGCTGGTGGCTGACCCCTACGAGGAGGCCTGGAACCAGATGCTCCTGAGGAGGCAGAAGGCCCGGCAGCTGGAACAGAAGGTTGGGGGAACACCAGGGCAGGGATGCTGCCAGGGCTGAGCAGGATGGGGCCCAGGGAGAAGGCACAGGGAGGGGGCTGAGGTTCGGATGACAGAGGTGACCCCAAGCCTTGGGGGTCCTGTGGTTGCCCCAGGCCCCAGGCAAGTCCCTGGAGCGTGGCTGGGAGGATCTGTGTCCATGTCCTCTGCATCCCACTGCTGCTCCCTGCCCATCCCTGTGGCCAGTCCCCTGCCCATCCCTGTGCCCAGTTCCCTGCCCATCCATCCCTGTTTCCAGTCCCCTGCCCATCCCTGTTCCCTGCCCATCCATCCCTGTTCCCAGTCCCCTGCCCATCCCTGTTCCCAGTTCCCTGGCCGTCCATCTCTGTTCCCAGTCCCCTGCCCATCCCTCTTCCCTGCTCATCCCTGTGCCCAGTCCCTGCCCATCCATCCCTGTGCCCAGTCCCTGCCCATCCCTGTGCCCAGTTCCATGCCCATCCCTGTGCCCAGTCCCCTGCCCATCCCTGTGCCCAGTTCCATGCCCATCCCTGTTCCCAGTCCCTGCCCATCCCTGTGCCCAGTCCCCTGCCTGCCCTCCCCACCTGCCCTGGCCACGCCGGTGACGGTGCCTTGCTCCCGTTGCAGATGAACAACTACCTGACGGTGCCGGCGCACAGGGTGGACTCGCCCACCATGTCCCGGGCTCGCATCGGCTCAGGTAGGTGGGAGGGGGCTGCACGGGGGGCGGCACTGCTGTTTCCTGTGCCCTCGGGGCTGTCCTGCACCTCCTCAGCTCCCTGTGGCTCTCCAGCCCCGACCGTCCCCACCCCACACCCATGCAGCCGAGCCCAGTTTGTCCGTCGCACATTTGCTTTGGCACCCTCGGTTCCTCGTGTCCTGGGTGTCCCTCCCGCTGCGGGGACGGGCTGTCGGGCTGTGCCGCGGCTGCGGAGCCGGCGCTTCATCAGCAGAGGGCAGCTTCGCCCTTCCGATGGAGCCGGCTGTCGGCAGCTCCAGCTGGGGTGTGGGAATCGGGAAAGGGAATTACACAGCTGAAATGGGAATCAACGAGACAGCCCGGCCACCCCGGCCTAAACAAACATCTGGGGTGCATCACCGGGGGTCCCTGAGACCCCCCCTTCCCTGCCTGACCCCTCTGTGCCCCCAGACCCGCTGGCCTACGAGCCCAAGGAGGACTCGGAGAACCTGCCCATCATCACCATCGACCCGGCCTCGCCGCAGTCCCCCGAGTCCGTGGACCTGATGAGCGAGGAGCCCAAGGGCTGCAGTGGCCTCCCGCCCTCGCCCGAGGAGGACGAGGAGGGGCTGGTGATGCGGGTGAAGGAGCCTTCCTCCCCGGGGACTGACGACGTCTTCACCCCGGGCACCGGCGACAGCCCCAGCAACCAGCGGATGCTGCGGTGCCTGAGCGACCCCGGCCCGCGGCCCGAGCCCGAGGAGGGGGAGCCCTTCATCCCCAAGGGGGAGTAGCTGCTGGCACGAAGCCTCCAAACCGTTTCTCTCTTTCTGTTCATTCATTCGTTCTTTGCTCTCCATTTTGGTTTCTTGTCGCTACACACTGGGTTCAGGAAGGGGAGACTGTCCTGGATGGACTGAGATTGCCAGGACAGCTCTGCCCAGCGAGCCTGGGCTGGCCCCAGTGAGCAGGGAAGGAGCCCCGGCGTGCCCCGGGCTCCTTGGGCTGCGTGGCCGGGGGGCGATGGACGATTTTCCGCCCGGGATTGGGATTTGCGGGCGCCTCCCAGCCCCCGCGGGGCTCTCCCAGAGGTGCCCACCCACTCAGGACCTGCGGCCGGCTCTGACCAGGGGTCTCCACACTCACTCCCATGGCACAGCTTCCCCTCTCCCCTCTTGTGCTTTCTTGCCCCCTCGCCTTGCTCCGGAGCGGAGAGATGGGACAGCAGGAGCTGTCACCGGGGCTGGCACGCACACACAGAGACACACAGACAGACAGACAGACAGACACACACACACACACACACACACACTCTCCCCCTGCACCCTCTCGGGCTCCTGCTGCTGCTCCCTCGCCTTGGCAGCTTCCCCGTGGGACCGGCTGTGCCTGGGATCCTCCCTCCTGGCCTCACATTTCATGCCAGGTCTTTTCAAATAAATATTCTAGAGCCATGCGGGGGGGAAGCTGGGACCCCCCTCGCTTTGAGCAGCCTCTCCATCCCTCCTGGAACTGCTGTCACCTGTCCCCACGGGGACCCTCTGCCAGCCTCGCCCCTCGCCCCGTGCCAGCGCGGCAGCGGCTGCTCCTTAACCAAAGACGGGCCCGGGGTGTGCCAGGGGGGATTATTTGTCCCCCTGCCAGCGAGAGCAGCTGGGGGAGAGCCAAGTGCCAGCTCCCCCAGCGCGGGGACACCTTGGACCAGGAAGGTTGGCAGCAAGGGGACGACGGGGGGTGCCGGGGGTCCTGGAAAGACTCGTCTTTGCCCAAGGCTTGGGAGGGGTCGCCGGGTGTTGTGGTGACTTGCAGCCCTCCCCGGGCTCAGGGGTGTCCCGTGTCTGTCACCTTGTCCCCCTGCCGTGTGCCACCTTCGCCGTGGGTACCGCGGGGTGCTCACCACCCCCTCCCCGGGGACCCCGGCCGCTGTCCCCTCCCTGTGCCGTGCCTTGCCACGCTCTGCCCCGCTGCCTTGGTGGGCGCCTGTCCCACGTGCCACCCGCTGCACACCCCGCTGGGACCCCCAGGTCCGGCGGCACCGGGGCGAGCGCCCACGTCGCTGCCTGCGCCTGCCTGCTGCCCTGCTCTGTTTCCAGGAGGAAAAAAAAAGCAATGGAAATTCTCTTGTATAAAAAGGAAAAAAAAAAAAAAAAAAAAGCCAAACCCACATGTAAAGAGATTCTTGGTTTTTATCATAAATATTCTAATAAATTAATGTTAATTTTTAGTGGGGGTTTCTCCAGCTGTTCGGACTCCTGCCGCTGCCACACGGTTCCGGCTGTCCCAGAGGAACAAGGTGGCTGTGACACTTCGTCCCCATCGCTGGCATGGAGGGTTTGCCTCTCGCCCTCCTGCCCGGCTCAGGGACAGCTGGAGCCCCCTCCCGGGGGGACATTTTAAGCCGTTCCCAGCTTTGGCAAAGACAGAGGCTCAGGCTCCCAAATCCCTCCCTGGAGTGCGCCGGTGTGAGGGTGTGCAGGGAGGGTCTCCGGGGGAGTGTCCTTTGCCGGGGGCACGGATCGCCCGGCACAGCCCCGGGGTGCCGGCCCGCTGTCCCAGCACGGCTCTGCCCGTCCCGGCCCAAGGGAGAAAGGGCCGGCACCTGGCACTGCTGCAGGCTTGGGGGGTAAAGGTTCCATCCCCAGGGGAGGGGGCTTGGGGACATCCGAGCTCTGCGATTTTCTTCCTGGGTTTCCCAGGAGCCCTCCCAGAGGAGCCGGTTCCCACCGGCATCCCGGGACTGCCGAGCGGGAAGCGGCTCCAGGCAGCGCCCGGGCGAGGAGCAGCGCCACAACCCCAAAATCCCCCGGATCCCATCAGATCCCCTCAGCAGAGTCCCCGCTGCAGGGCCGGGGGTGTCCGAGCCCCTCGCTGTGGGGAATTGCGATGCAATGCGTTCCGTGGCTGCGAACCAAAGCGCTGAGCCGGCAGCTCTGACTCAGCCCGCGGCCAGCCACTCACCTGCCCAAAACACCTGAACGCCAGGGTCCCGCTGCGGGGGCGACCCGAGGGCCCCCCGGGCAGGATGAGGTGGCCAGGGATGTGTGACAGGCCGTGCCGTGGGGCCCATGGCGGTGCCACTTTGGTGGGTGCCACCCTTGCGTCCCACCCAGGGCCTGGGGTAGTTTGTCCACTGCCCACCCTGACACTGCCCACCCCAAACACTGCCCACCCTCCAAGGAATAACAGGAGCAGTGCCCACAGCTTGGTAAGAGCATGTCAGTCTGGATAAAGCAGTACTGAAGCCTTGTGCAAGGAGTGCTTTGGACAAAACATATTACTTGAGGCCATTTCTCATTCTTATATTCACCCAAAAAGAGATTCCAGCTAGCGCAGATCCCAACCACCTTGTACTGCAGAGCAGCATCATGTGATGTCTCTACAGATCCCATCCAAATGTCTCTCTGAATAATGCAAACAGTAGCTTGGCCTCATTGCAGGCTGAGGGAGCAACACCACGCTTGGCCTCCGAGCCCAAATGAAAACATTTCAGGCCACCCTGCCACCCACAAACACTGCCCACCCTGACACTGCCCACCTCGGACATTGCCCACCCTGATTCTGCCCACCCTGACACTGCCCACCCCGGACACGGAGGGAGCAGCAGGAGCTCAGCTGCCCCGGGCAGTGCCCAGGTAACTCACCTGCCCACGTGCTGGGGAGCATCACCTGCAGCCTGATTTCAGTCATACCTTTAGAGCGAGAACTCCCCAAACCGAGGCATTTCCAGGATATTCTTGTTTCTGTCTCAAAGCGTGAGTAACTTTTTTTAATGAGGGAGGACTAATGATCCCTGCGGGGCCGGGCTGTCACCACTGAGCCACTGCCAAAGCACTCGCAGTGCTGGGGCCGGGGGTGGGGGGCCCCAGGGTGTCCCCCCGGCCCCACGGCCCTGGCAGTGATGTCTTTTCCCTGTGTGTGCCCTCCGTGCCCCATATCCCCCTCTCCCTCCCAAAGCACCTTTGGGCCTTGGTGGTGGCACCAAGAACAGGGAGAAAAGGGACTCTGACAGGATGACCTTGTCCTTCCACGTGAGTTCCACCGTGTTTATGCCCTTCCACAGCCCCCATCCATGAGGGTTAAAGATCTGCTGCCTCTGCAGCAGCAGGAAACTGCCCCGGCCAGGAGACGGGCTTTCCCGTGCCTCAGTTTCCCTCTGTGGTCCAGCGGGTGGCAGGAGGGGAGTGACCGTCCCCATTGTCCCAGCAGGTACCGAGAGCCCTGGAATCACCCGTGAAATCCCTGCCCGAGTCACGGCTCCGGGCTCAGCAGCCTCCAGAGCCGAGCCCCGGGCTGTCCCGGGAGGGGAGGGCACAGCGAGGCTGTCCCGGAGCTGCCACCACCCTCAGGGCGCTCGGGTGTCACCCGGGGCCCAAAAACCCGGAGCAAAGGGAGCGGCTGTGCTCCCTGCCAGCCCCAAATTAGTGGCACTGAGATGGGTCATCCCTGCCACGGCTGTAAAGGCACGAGTCAATGCCAAGAAAAACAGCACGTGGTGTCACCGGGGAGCCACCGGGCCTGGGGACACACAGGCCATGCTGCCAGGGCACAGGGATGTCCCCAGCCCAAAGGGACACCCCGGGGGAGATTCGAGGGAGGGCACATCAGTGCTGGGGCCACGTTGCTGCTGTGTCCCTGTCCCCACAGCCTGTCCCCCCCACTCCCCGGGCAGCATTTTGCAGCAGCCAGGGGAGGTGACAGGTGCCATTCCCGAGCTCTGTGTCACCTGCAGTAATGACACCCTGCGCTCCCTTTCATGTCGGGCCTCCCGGGTGGCCCCTCTCCGGCAGCATCACTCATCATCCCTTCCAGGATGGGATGTGGCCGGGTCTGGGGGTCCAGGGTGGTGACACAGGGATGCCAGGCTGAGATCAGAGAGTGGCAGCACAGTGACACCCCTCATGCCACGCGGTGGGTGCTCACAATGCCCCTAACGCCACATCCAGCCCTGCTGTGGCCAGCACGGGGAAAACCTCTTTGGACACCGCTGGTGGCACCGCCCCAGGGAGGCCAGCGAGCTTGGTGGCACCTCTGGGACGGGCTGCGGGGACTGAGCGGGGCTGGCCAGCGAGCTCGGGTGCCTGGGAGGTGTCCAGGAGCTGTGTTTGCCGAGGGAGGATTTGGACAAGGCATGGAGACGGACTCCACCTGCTAAACCCACAGTGGGCACGTGGGCAGGGGCATGAGCGTGGGGATGGCAGTGTGGGCGTGGGGACAGTGACGAGAGTGGGGACAGCAGCAGCTGTGCTGGGGACAGTGATTGCCCGGCCACGGTGGCTTCTGTGCACGGGGATGGCTGAACTCTGCCTGGGGACAGTGTGTGCCTGCGTGGGGACACTTTGTGCCTGCGTGGGGCCACTTTGTGCCTGCGTGGGGCGGCCACGCACAGCGGTGCCCGCACGGTGACAGCCGCTGCGGGCACGGGGACAGGGCCAGCCCGGGACACGGCTGACGTGAGCACGGTGGCGGTGCCGGGGAACCGGCGTGCCCGCGCCCCGCCGGCAGCGCTGCTGCTCCCCCGGGGCGGCGGGTGACGTTGGTGGCTCCGGGAGCAGGGCTTGGTCCCTGCTGCTTGCTCAGGGAGTTGGCACACGCCCTGCTTAATGCCGAGTGGGACGGAGCCGTCCCACGCGAGTCACGCAGTCCCCGCGGTCCCTTCCCCTGCCGGCCGAGGGATTGTCACCCAGTGCCCCACTCCCGGCCGCTCCCAGCCCTTGTGCCCGCGTTCCCCGCTGGCCGGGCTGCCCAGAGGGCTCAGCTCGGGTGGGGGGTCCATCTCTGCCCCCCGCGCTCCTTGCCGTGCCCCGGCCCCGGGCTGGCCCCGCTCCTCCCCGCGCACCCGCCGGGCGCGCTCCGATCCCCCGGGGACGGAGCAGGCTCCGCCGGGCATTCCCGGGGAGCTGCGACCCCAAATCCCTGCGGCAAGGGGGGCTCACGGCTTCCCGAGCCGCCCCCCTGCCCAGCCCTGTCCCACCCCGTGTGGCCAAAGGGGCTCCGCCACCCTCGTGCCACCCCCGGGAGGCAGGAGCCGCCCGGGTTTCACCCCAAGACGATGATTATTCCTTAATTGCCGACAAAACAAACGAATAAAGGCCGGGCTGGCCCTGGCTGAGCTGGAAGGAAACGGCCCGGGTGCCGTTCCCAGCGTCGGGCTCGCTGCCGGGATCATCCCGGTGATGCACGGTACCGAGCGCTCCGCCGGCCCGGCCCCGCCGCCTCGGCCGAGGATTCCCCCGGAGCCAGCAGCGCCTCTGCCCCTGGGCCGGGCAGCACCAGGTCCAGCCCATCCCAGAGGGGTCTGCAGCCCCCCGGCCCTGCCTGGATCCCCCCGGGGCTCCCTCCTGCAGGACCCATCCCCAAAGCCGTTCGGGCCCTCTCAGCCTCTTGGGAAACCCTCCCTGATCCGGCTTTTCCTCCAGCACCGCCAGAAGGGTTTTGCAACGAGAGGCAGCTGCCTGATTTTTAATCGAGTTCCTTGGAAAATCGCTTTCCAGCAGGGCTCCCCTCGTCCTGCGCCCCAGCCGGGAGCCGCAGCGGGAGCAGCTCTCCATCCCGGCGGAGTCACACGGTGACACGGGCAGGGGCAGGGAGCACGGCAGGAGCAGCATCCCAGTGGGGACCCCTCAGCCCCCCGGGAGCCCCTCTGGCTGTCAGTGCCCCAGGGAATGGGGAGCATTTCAGGGGCAGTCGGGGCTCCACGTCCCTTCTCTCCCCTCCAACCCCAGCTGTGGATGCTCCTGAGCACCCCGGTTCCCCCAGTTCCTCTTTCTGCAGCCAGCTCCAGCTTCCAGCAGCAAACCCTGGGATGTGGCAGGTCCTCCGAGACAGACCTGGCATCTTGGAAGAGCCCTGCAGTGCCTGCCCTGAGGGGGAAAGCCTCAGGCTGGATTTTCGGGAGTTTTCAGGGCAGTTCTTGCGATAAAACCCCGCGAGGGTGTAAAAAAGAATCAGCCCTGGCTCATCTCCGAGCGGGGTCTGGCTCCCGAGGATGGATCCCAGCTCCAAGCAGGAATGGGGTCGGCAGTGCAGGTGTGGGGCTGGGGTCGCTCTGTCCGTCCAGCTCAGCACGGAGGGCCCCGCTGGAATCGTCTGGGGGAGAAACGAGCCGGGAATGGCTGGGATGGAAGGAAACGGGGGTCAGGGGCTGGGGACACGCCTGGCCCGGGGGGGCGGCGGCTGAGCTGGGGCTGGCTCTGAGCTCCCGGAGCTCCGTCACCCCAGGGAGGGACCCTGCCCTGGGTGCCACGGCTGGCACATGGGGACAGGGGACAGGGGACAGGGCCTGGGGGAGCTGGGCGGGTCAGGATGGGGACACTGAGCTGTGCAGGGACAGACCGCGGGCTGCCAGACCTCGGGACACCGCTGCAGGGAGAGCCAGCCTGCAGAGCACCCGTGGGCATGGGATCATAGGGCACCTGGGGGGCACCAGGGCATGAATGGGGCATGAATGGGGCATGAATGGGGCACCACCACATGAATGGGGCACCACCGGGGCACCAGGGCATGAATGGGGCATGAATGGGGCATCACCGGGGCACCACCGCATGAATGGGGCACCAGTCAGGGGGCATCACCCACCACCGGGGCACCACCAGAGCACCACCGGGGCACCAGGGCATGCATGGGGCACCAATCAGGGGGCATCAGGGGGCATCGCTGGGGCACCAGTGGGATATCAAAGGGTACCAAGGGCGTACCCAAGGGCAGCAATGGGGCACCGAAGGGAACCAACAGGACATCGGAGGGCACCGCTGTGGCACGAGCGTGACTCAGAGGGACACCAAGGCCGTCGCTGCGGTCCCACAGGACGCCCCAGGGCACCCAGGGCCACCCGGGGCTGTCCCTGTCCCCCGTGTCCCCTGGGACTGTCCCTGTCCCCCGTGTCCCCCCGTGTCCCCACGGGACTGTCACTGTCCCTGTCCCCCGTGTCCCCCGGGGCTGTCCCTGAGTCCCTGCGGGCACCGACCGCGCTCCCGCCGCGCCCCGCGCAGCCGCCCCTCGCCGGCGCCGCTCGGGGGGTTATTTTTCCTTTTTTTTTTGCTTTCCCCCCCATTTTTAAGTTTTCCTCCCGCTTCCCCTCCGCACCGGCACTTCCGGCTGGTTTCCGGGCGGTTTCCGGGCGAGCGGCTCCGTCGGCGGCGGGGGCGATGCTGGAGGCGGCGGCGGGGGCCGCTGCGGGCGGCGCGGAGCAGCGCGGCAGCCGCTTCAGCGTCCTGACGTGGGAGCAGGTGCAGCGGCTGGACCAGATCCTGGGCGAGGCCGTGCCCATCCACGGCCGCGGCAACTTCCCCACGCTGTCGGTGCGGCCGCGCACCATCGTGCAGGTGAGGGGGCCGTGAGGGGGCCGTGAGGGGACGGGGCGGGCTGCGGGCCCCGCTGGACTCTGCCCCGCTCCTGCGGGGCTCAGGGAGAAAATAAAAGTGCTGAGGCGGCGATAAGCGGCCCGGCGGGCCCCGAGCCAGCCCGGCCCGGCACGCTCGGCCTCCCCCGCCGGGCCCGGGGCACCGGGCAGCCGCTGGATGCTTGGGGTGGAAGGGGCCTGAACATCGCGGAATGCCCTGGGCTGAGGAGCCGGGCATGGCCCCGCACGGGAAGCCCAGAGATCCCGCTGAGTGTCCCCAAATGCCGCCTGGCTCCTGCCAGGCCTGGAATTCGGGAGGAGCGTCTCAGGCTGGCACCTTCCGCTCGAGCAGCTCGCTCCGAGCCTGCCCGGCCTGGCCTGGCCGCTCCAGGGGGCTTAGAAGTTTTGGGGGACTGGTGCCCATGGTCCCGGGGTGCTGCGGGGTCCTGGTGGGGCTGGCCCTGCCAGCAGCCGCAGCAGCAATGCCCGGAGCTGCAATGCCCTCCCGAGCAGCTCCCCCGTCCCTGGGGCTGCTGCAGTTGTGCCACAGATCCTGCTTAGATTCCTCCCCCCGTACCTCGCTCCTGCTCTTTTTGAGTTCATTTGCTTGTGCCACAGATCCTGCTTAGATTCTCCCCCCGTACCTCGCTCCTGCTCTTTTTGAGTTCATTTGCTTGTGCCACAGACCCTGCTTAGCTTCCTCCCCCCGTACCTCGCCCCTACTCTTTTTGAGTTCATTTATTGCCCTTAAAAGCAGTGAAATGTGTGTGGCCAGGGCAAAAGTGGCTTTTTTTGGAGCTGCTTCCACGAAATGGCTTCGTGCTGGGGGACATGTTGGGCTCGTGTTGGAAGAGGCAGAGTTATTAATTCAAAGGCCGGATCAAATGTCCGTGTCCTTTGATTTCTGGGCACTCCTGGCTGAATTCTCCAGAGCCTGCCCGAGACTTCGGCTTGTTCACGAGCTCCTCTTAGTTTAACCATCAAGTAATAACCGTGTTTAATATTAAACTAACAATGTAGCTCGAATGAGCTGATGCATATTCATATTTGGGAGGCGACTTCATTCCTCAGTAATGACTCATCAAATGTAAAATCGGGCATGTTGGCTTCTAATTAAAAAGCCTATTCACGGCGCTAAGACCCAACTGGCTTTCACAATAACCGGGATTTTGGAGCCTCAGCTGCTTGAGAAATAGTTAGAGTTAAGCCTGGGAGACGGAAAGGTGACATTTGCAAGGCTGCTCTGGGATTCCTCGAGTTGCTGACAGCGCTGGCTTTTGGCTGCTGTGAGCAGGAGGGCTCAGATGAAGGCTGCCCTCGGCCGGGGCAGCACCCAGCACTGCAGCAGCTCTCCCTCGCTGCCCAGAGGATGCTGCCAGCAGCAGCCTCCAGCACGGGGTAGCTGAGGGCTGTAATTGTGCCCAGAGCCTGTGTTTAGGGCTGACTAAGCTGGAACAAGTAACCCAAAAGGCAGTTATTTATCCTGTTGTTGTTGTTGTGGGAGCTGCGAGGCGCAGGTCAGGACGCAGCAGGATTTGCTCCTGCCTGGCTGTCACACTCAATTATCCCAACCACACGGAAGGTGAGCTGCTGTTTTGGGAAGCAGGTCAGCAGCTGCCTAACCCTGGAAATATCCAGCCCTCTGGGGGAAATGCAGCCCTGAACCCACTGCCTGCAGCCAGGGGGGACGAGCTCCAGGTGAAGGCTGGTGGGTGGAAGCTCCCAGGGAATGGCAGTGCTCTGCTCCCTGCTGCTCGGCAGGTTGGAGACTTTTGGGGTGGTTTGGGACAATGCTGACTCGAGCAATTGAGTCTTTTCCCTGTTTTCTGAATGTATCTCACACAGACAGACTGGGGAACTTGAGTAAACCTGGAGCCTGTGGGTCTGGAGTGCTGCAGGTCCTGAGCCGTGCCCAGAAAGGGGTTAAGCAGATGTTCTTTGGGGTTAGGAAATTAATCTGGAACGAGATCTTCTCCCAGCACTGGGCCCAGCTCTGCACCTAAGGCTTTGTGACCTATATCTTGTCTCTCTAAGCCTGAGAGCACAGAACTCTTGGACTGCCCGGGCAGAGCTGGAGCTGTGCCCCGGGTGAGTGACTCCAGCTGGCAGCAGCGACAGGCCAGCAGCTCCCCTGGGTGATGTTTGCTCATCTGGGGCAACAGCCCTGCGTGTCTTCTAGGAGCAGCTCCATCTTTCCAAACTGTCTGCCCTGGAAAACAGCTTCTTTCACTGCCTGGGCTGGTGTGGCCTGGGCTCCCAGGGGTGAGCAGCTCCTGGGTAACTGCTGCCTGACATGTGACTGTCACCACGGGCTTGGCGAGGAGCCTGGCTGCCTTTCCAGCCAGAGCAGGGGTGGCTCCTGTCAGGAGAGAGGGGAAGCACCACCAGGGAAGCTGCCTAGTGAGCCTTGACAACCTCCCAGGTGTGCAAACAGCAGAGGGTTTGTTCTGGGAAGTTTTTGGGAAGGCAGCAGGACGTGCTGGTGGCCCTCGGTGCGGTCACTGAGGGTCTGGGGTGTGACCAGGGTTCCATGCTGCCAGCCCTGACCTTTTGTGTGTTCTTCCTTCCAAACAAAACCACCATGGAGAGGTGGTTTTACTGCTGCTGGGACCAGACCTGCAACACTTCTGATCTCCCCCAGAACTGCTCAGGCCCAGGGCAGCCAAGAGGGTTTGGCCGTTGTGATGCAGCTTTAAATTGAAATTCATGTTTTGGGCAGAGTTTGTGGGGCCTCTCAAACTAGGGCAGGCTCACAGGGCCGAAGGGCCCAGTCAGACTGGCTCTTGGTGATCCAATTTGTCCATTTGTGTCCCAAGCTTCGGCTCTTTCAAGCCATGGCCTTGCTCTAGGCTGGCTGGTTGGGACTCCCAGGAAAATGGGAAATGGCTGGAGGGGAACACAAAAGCAGGATGAGTGGATGAGACGTGGGAAGAGCTTCTGCTGGAAGGTGCAAACCTAATCTTCCTGGGATCTTTGAGCTGAGTTAAACTCAAATTATAAGCTGGTGTCCAGATAGTTTATTTTATGGTCTTGGGGGTTATTTTAGCCTCCTGCTTGTTAAGTAATCAGGCAGGTGATTCAGCTTCCCAGTAAATGAACAAAGCTTTGGAGGGGCTGCTGGGTGTGCCAGCACTGAGCAGGCAGCATTAAAATCACCGGAGTAACACCCGTGAGATGAAAGCTGCCTCTTGTGCTTGATAGCACGCCAAGCTCAGCACGAAGCTCTGACACACTGGAAATTGTTAGGATACACTTACCAGTTGGGACATGAACTTGCATACGCCTGGCTGGGGCTTTTGAGCTGCTCTGGCATCTTGATTTGCCTTTAATGAATCTTGACAGGCCGAAGGGATGGCTAAAAGGAGTGAGCCACCCTGATGAAATCCACAGGGACTGCTGCAGACTGTGCTGCCACCCCCTCTTTGGGGTCACTTTGGGGTCGGCTGGTCTTGGCTGGGGCACTGGAGCTGGGAGGGGATGCAGAGGGCAGAGACCACCCCAAAAATGGGGTCAGGAAGGCGGGGAGAGCAGACCCTGCACGGAAGCAGAGCAGCTGATCGTGTGCAGTCACATCTCTAATGCCAGGAGTCAGTAAGGGAGAGCCACCCCCAGCTGCTGGCAGGGCTGGGGATGCTTTCCAAAGTGACCTATTTCCAATGGATTAGCTTTTTATTTTACTGTCTTGCACTGGAGTGACCCACGTAAGCGCCGGGAGCGCTCCTGCTGTCCCCAGGCTGCTCCAGGAGCTCCCTCCTGCCTCTCACTGACTCTGTCTCTGTCTCAGGTTGTCCGAAGCCGCCTGGAGAAGAAGGGAATCCCAGTGCACAACGTGAGGCTGAATGGCTCAGCAGCCAGTCATGTCCTACACCAGGACAGTGGCTTGGGCTACAAGGACCTGGACCTCATCTTCGGCGTGGATCTGAAGACCGAGGACGTTTTCCAGCTGGTTAAAGATGTGGTCATGGATTGCCTGCTCGACTTCCTCCCCGAAGGAGTCAACAAGGACAAGATCACGCCCGTGACCCTGAAGGAGGCCTATGTGCAGAAGCTGGTGAAGGTGTGCAACGAGACCGACCGCTGGAGCCTCATCTCGCTCTCCAACAACAGCGGCAAGAACGTGGAGCTCAAGTTCGTGGACTCCCTGCGGCGCCAGTTCGAGTTCAGCGTGGACTCCTTCCAGATCATCCTGGACTCGCTCCTGCTCTTCGGGGAGTGCTCGGAGAACCCCATGGCCGAGAACTTCCACCCCACGGTCACCGGGGAGAGCATGTACGGGGACTTCGAGGAGGCCATGGAGCACCTGCGGCAGCGCGTCATCGCCACGCGCAACCCCGAGGAGATCCGGGGCGGGGGGCTCCTCAAGTACTGCAACCTCCTGGTCAGGGGCTTCAAGCCCAAGTCCGAGGTGGATATGAAGGCCCTGCAGAGGTACATGTGCTCCAGGTTTTTCATAGACTTCTCTGACATCGGCGAGCAGCTGAGGAAGCTGGAGTGTTACCTGCAGAGCCACTTTGTGGGCATGGAGAGCAACAGATATGACTATTTGATGACCCTGCACAGGGTGGTCAACGAGAGCACGGTCTGCCTCATGGGACACGAGAGGAGGCAGACCCTGAACCTCATTGCCATGCTGGCCGTGAGGGTCCTGGCTGAGCAGAACATCATCCCCACCGTCACAAACGTTACCTGCTTCTACCAGCCAGCCCCTTATGTCAGTGAAATAAACTTCAACTACTACGTGACCCACGTGCAGCCCTTCCTGCCTTGCAATCAGTCCTACCCCACGTGGCTTCCCTGTAACTGAGCCAGGACAAACTCCAGGGTCTGTCCTCCAAGGTATTTCCTTGCCTTGGGGGGTTGGGAGGGTGGGGAGGGGGAGCAAAATAAAACCTACCAACCTTCCTAGAACTGCAGCAAAAGGAAACTTCCTGGACTCTGGCTTGAGTGTCTCGTTCCTGGGGTTGTTGGAACGAGCCTTGTCTGCTGTACACTGTGATGGGAAGTGCAGTGTCATGGGAATGACTCCTTATGGAATTGTGGAGGCAATGGGGTGGGTGGGGTGTGTGAGGGGAGACTGTAGAATTACGCTAAGGTAGAGCTGCACTGCCCTGAAATGGATCTGAATTGTGGTTGTTTTTTTTTAGTGCAGGAGGTGTTATGGGTGTGCAAACTTGTGGTTTCTGCCGAGAGAAGCCAGGGTGGCTAATTCCTTTGAAGGACCAAAGAATCCTGTTTAAGTGCCTGTAACAATACAAACACAACTGTACTGTAAACCTTTATTATTTTTTGCAGGGGCTGATGGCCCAGAGCTTGAGTGGGGAATGTCTGAAGAGGAAAATGTTTCTGTCATGGGTGGGGAGGGTCGCAAGATCATTTCTTATCCTGGCTGAGGCCAGAGCAGGTTCTGTGTCGCTGAGGGGTTTGGGCATGGCTTGCTGCCTGTGGAGGACCAGCTGGAGCCAAGAGCTGCCAAAGTGGGGCTGCACAACCCAGGGCTTGGAATGGCTGCGTGGAAATGCCTGAAACTGGGAGCACTGGGGAGGGGGGAGGGCATGGTGGGAGATGCTGTGCAGGGCTCGCTGGAAAAAAGGCAGCAGGGACCTGCACATGGATCCCTTCAAGCTCCCAAGTCTGCAGTGCCAAAATGTAGTAGAGTTCCTAAATGATGAGGCAGAAGATTTGTCCAGGAGCCTGCCCCAGGCTGCCATACCTAATCCTGTATTTTCTAGGGGAATTTGAAATGCTGCTCTTCCGATTTTTTTTTTTTTTCTTTCTTTTTGACATGCAGTGTGATTTTAATGCACAAAGCCACAGGCCAGCTGGGCCATGGGGAAGGTGAGGCTTGTCCTTTGAAGCACAAACCATCCAGGTCACTGGTCAGTCATTTCCAGCTGTTGTTGTGTCCTCCAGGGGGGTGGACAGACCTCTTCCATGCTGGAGATCATCCCTTGGGCAGGCCCTGTCTCCAAAGCAGCCTATTCCCAGCTCTGTGATTCCCTGTGGGAGCCACTGGTAGCATTTGAAATTCATTCTCTAGCTAGAAATGGAGCCTGGGGGCGGAAGGGGGCATGAAGTTAGTCGGCCTTAGGGCAAAAACTGTCTTCTAAACAGACCCTCTGGTGTTTTGAGGGTTTGGCCCTCTCAGTCCAACGTGGCTTTGAAGCTGTTGAGTGTCCGGAGCACAAGAGTTTTTCACGGAGGTGCCTGGGCTGCCCTGCCCGCAGAGATCTCAGGTTTCAGAGGGCGGGCAGCAGGCATTCCCTAGGGATGCTGCTCGGGAACACCGCGGCTTCTGGTGCTGCCTCCGAGGCTGACCCACTCCAGTACCTTTACTAACTTGTGTTTTTTGGTGGCTTTTTTTTTTTTTTTTTTTTTTGTTTTTGTGACAAAACTGTAATAGCCGGGCAGATTGAAATAAAGACTAGATCCTTGGAATGTGTATAGCCAGATTGGTACCTTTTTTGGGGTAGGGGCAATGTGGATGGGCAGTAAGGGGGTGGGGGTGGCTCTTGCACCGGGCATCAGCTGCAGCTGGCCCAGCTCTGCTCCCTGCACTCACCCTGAGCTTGCTGCAGGTTTTGATGCCTCCTGCAGCTCAGCTCTGCCTTCATGGCAGCCCCAGCTCCCCAGAGCCTCATCCCTGTGCTGGGAGCTTGGCATTTCCCATGCGAGGTAAAACTGATTTAGGGCTGCTTTTGGGAGCCTGACTGTGCCACTCCCGTGGCTTCCAGGAACAGGAGATTTTTTTTTCCTTGCATTTGAAATGGAACGTAGATGCCATGTACCATGTTTTTTACAGGCTGCTCCTACCCACAGCCACACTACACTGAGATTCCCTCCTTCCCTTTGAGATGTCCAGCAGATCCCCTACAGCCAGCAGCTCGACAGGGCGACCTACCATTGAGATTGCACTTTGGATTTATGGAGTGTGTGTGGTGGGACTCTTGTGAGTGGCTTGAGCCTGAATTTTTCTAGACCTTGCAGTGATACTGTGCTGCCTCCTGTGAGGGGGGCAATTGGAAGATTCCAGTAGCTTGAATGGCACTTGATTTCTTTTTTTTTTTTCGTTGTTTTGTTTGTTTTAAATGTCTTTTTTTTTTTTCCTACACCTGTATCACCTGTCATGCGATGGGCTTGACATAGACTCACTAGATTCTTTAGAATCTGTTACGAATAAATACAGTGTATTCAAGTTTGTTGGGTTATTTTATTTGCTTGTCCATCCGGGTGGTGTGACGAGGAGATGACCCCACCCTGTTCCCACCAAAACCGGGCTCAGAACCAGCTGGGCACCTCGAAAGGGGCCCTGGTCTGGGTCTGCCTGGTGTTTCCCCAGTCCAGAGCAGCTCTGAGCCCGGGGAGTGCTGTGGCTGCTGTCGGGTCCCTCCTGCAGAGGTTCCTGGTTCAAGCTCCGTCCTTTGGAGTTGTGCATTTTGCCTTTCCCTGCTGCTGGAGGGGGAGGCTGGCTGGTGGCAGCTGGTGCCCGTGCTGGGGTGGCCCCAGCACCCTCCCTGCTGGCCTGGCGTGGCTCCATCCCTGCTGCTGGAGCAGCAGAGGTGCTGAACCTCGGGCTCGGTTCTGCTGTGGCTGTTCCCCTGCAGGGTGTTCCCCTGGAGCAGGAGGGCTGCAGGAAGAGCTGCGTGCTGCGGTGCCACGGCCAGCCAGCTCCTCCAGCCCTGGCTGCCCTCCAGCCCCAGATGAAGTTTCACTTCCCCCTGTCAAGCTCCAGGCAGTTCTGGTTCCACTGCAACAATGGAGCTGACGGTGTGCCAGTCCCTCTTTGGGACAAACTTGCTGGCTCTGCATCTCCAAATATTCACAGTCCTGGGCCAAAGCTTCCCTCTGACAACAGGGCTGGGTGTTCTTGCTGGGCTGGCACTGTCACAGCCCCCGTCCCTGCTTGGGCAGGCTCTGCCTTTTGCAGGGCTCCTTTCTCTCCAGACCTGCTGGCTTTGGTTTCCCTCTTTCTGGCCCAAACCCAGCACGATCTGCCCTTTCCAAGCGTGTCTCACGTATGGAAGCAGCTCTGCGGTGTCTTAGTCCCTCAGCTGTCTCCTGTGTGGGTGGCTGTCCTGCCGTGGGTGTGTGGTGAATAAGCTGCCTCTGGATTTGTGACCCTGAGCAGAGCAGCAAAAGCCCTGACAGAGTCGGCTGGGCATTGTTGGGTGGATCAGCCCAAACAAAGGGATGTTGGTGGAAAGTACTCGTTGTGATCAGAAAGGAGCTATCAATGTTTACAGCCCAGATTCCGATCCCTCTTTTGTTAATTGTCAAATAAAAAAAAAAAAAACCAAAAAACCAACAAAAACCTCTATATTTTCTCACAGCCTGTAGTCTGTCATTATTCTCCTCTTTGAGCAGAGGGGGTGATGGATCAGTCAGGATGTGCCTGAGGCTCTGCCGGGTGAAATTCAGACTCAGGTGCTGCTGCAGTGCTCCCTCAGCCTGGCTCTGGGGCCGGGCCTGTGTGGGGTGGCTGTTCCTCCAGAGCTATAAATAAATGCAGTCCCTGTATTTGTTCCCGTGCCCTGGCAGTGCCCAGCTCCTAGCTGCTGCTGGGAGCAGGGATGGTGGCACGGTGCCCACAGCCCCTGTGCTCTGGGCTGTGCTCTGGGCTGTGCGGAAGGGACGAGCACCCAAAACTACCCAAACCCCTCTGCCCTGCGGAGCAGGATCGCCGCTGGGGCTGGCCGCGGCTTTTCCAGCTGCAGCTTTTTCTCCTGGAAGGACACCTGGCCGTGCTCCAGGCTCACTGACACGGCAGGAATTTGTCTCGACTCCAGCATGCAAGAAGCATCTTGCTGCAGCCCTGCTGCTTGCAGCCGTGCCGCTGTGCTGGCCCGCTGCCCGGGGTGGCACAGCTCGGTGCTAGACCCAGCACGGCGTTCCCAGCTTATTTCAATCTCTCCATTTAGCTTTTTCCTTGCAGCGTGCCAGCGTTTCTCCCCGGCTGCCCTCCTCCTCCTCCTCGTCCCGGGTGTGAAGGCTGCTCTGGAGCTGCTGCAGAGCAGGGAACAGCCTGGCTGCGCGGCTGCTCTGGCCATTTATAGCCGCGCTCGGGGCGCAGCGCGCTGCCAAGCACGGGACAAACGCTCCATTGATGTGTCCCTTGCCCCAGGGCTCCCGGGCCGGGCTGAGCTGCCCAGGGCTGGCACAGCTCCCTGACTGTCCCAGGATGGCACAGCCCCCTGCCTGTCTGTCCCAGGGCTGTCTGCCCCAGGATGGCACAGCCCCTGCCTGTCCCAGGGCTGCCTGTCCCAGGGCTGTCTGTCCCAGGATGGCACAGCCCCCTGCCTGTCTGTCCCAGGGCTGCCTGTCCCAGGGCTGCCTGTCCCAGGGCTGTCTGTCCCAGGATGTCACAGCCCCTGCCTGTCCCAGGGCTGTCTGTCCCAGGATGGCACAGCCCCCTGACTGCCCAAGGATGGCACAGCCCCCTGCCTGTCTGTCCCAGGGCTGTCTGTCCCAGGATGGCACAGCCCCCTGACTGCCCCAGGTCTGCCTTCCCCAGGATGCCCCCTGCCTGTCCCAGCCCCTGCCTGCCCCGAGCCCCGGGGAGGCTGAGGGTGGGATCTCTGCTCTGTCCCTGACTCCAATCCCATCTCCCAGCCCTGCTGCTCAGCCTTTGCTGTTCCAGGAGTGTTTGAGCTCCTGCTGGAGCTGTGGACTACCCTGGCTCGGAGTGGAGGCACACAGAGCATCAAGGACAGCCCCAATGTGCTTCTGAGAGTTGCCCAAGCTCTTTGTGGCCTCTGGCAGGCTCAGTGCTGTGCCCACGTCCCTGGGAGCCTGCTCCAGTGCCCAGCACCCTCTGGGTGCAGAACCTTTCATGTGCACAGAGGAACCTTTAAAAAGCTTTTTTCCCCCTCTGTACATGGAGTATTTGTTCTGTTCAGCTCTAAGCACAGGTTGCCACAGACTTCTTGGCTGGCAGCTCCGTGATTTCCCTGACAACCACCTTCTCTCACCTCTGGCTTCTTGGATCCAGTCTGGAATGAGCAGCTCAGGCATTCCCACCCCTCCTGAGCCATCACAAGAACAGATCAGCTCCTGCAGAGCCTCCTGCCTGCTCCACAGCATTCCAGCTTCCCCAGGCTCCCGGGATGCCTGCTCTTCCCTGCTCCTTTTCTCGGGAATGAGCCACACGTGGCCGAGCTGCTGTTGGTTTGCTGGGCGGATCCCCGGGCCCGGACACACATTCCAGCTTGTAGAAACACGATGGCTCTGACAAATTTGATTGAAATCCTCTGCTGGCATCCCGAGGTGCTCAGGGGAGTGATTGACAGCCAGGGCAGAGGCGTTTCCTGAGGAAAGGAGGAAAAGAAATCAATTGCCTTGTCACCGCAGCCTCGAGGTGTTGCACAAGGGAGAGGCCAAGGACGGGGTGTCCTTGCTCCCCTGTACCCCAGCCCCTGCACGCCCTGCCAGGGGGATGCCAGGGGATGCCAGGGGATGCCGGGGGGAATGGTGACATTCCCGGGAAGGCTGCAGGAGCGGCTGGAGCTGTGCCCGGGAGGCGCAGGGCGGTGTGAGATGTGTTATCTCTCCCGTGCAGGTGAGAACTCGCGTTTTCGCTGCCAGCACAGAGCTCTCACTCCCCGCCAGCAGCCCGGTCCCTTCCCAGCCTCGCTCTGCACAGGACGGGGCCGCAGCCCCGGCTGCTCGGGGTGGCTGATCCTTGCCCTCTCCAGCAGCCCGGCGTGTTTACCCTCCTTATCTCGCCGCTATCAGACCCGGGCCCAGGCGGAGCAGTGTCACCCTGCCTTCAAAGGGGAAGGCAGCGCTCCCGGGCTGTTCCAGCGCCCTACATTTCTGCCTTGTAATCCAAGGAGGGGCTGGAGGCACGGACACCCCTGCAGCCCTCCTCCCTTCCCCCCGCACCGGCGTGCCTGCAACAGCTGATTACTTTAAGCATCCCTCTACTAATATGCAATTAGAGGAGGCTTGGGCTGAAATCCCGGCTAAATCCGCGTGTCCGTGCCGTGACTCACAGAGGACTGCTCCCCGATGGGTCCCGGGTGCATTCCTTAAAGGCTGGACATGATGGTTAACGTGCCACTCACAGTCACCCTTCCCAAATGTCACCAGAGGAACGAGTCCAGCCAGTTCCTGCCCTGCTCCTCCTTCCCGCAGCCCTGGCTGGGGCTGGCAGCTCCCGAGGCCAGGCTGGGCAGCCAGGCTGGGATCCCCCCTCCGGAGGGGTTTGATCCCCCCTCCAGAGGGGTTTGATCCCCCCTCCAGAGGGGTTTGATCCCCCCTGGGTTTTAGGGGATTTGGGTGCCAGGGGTTTGGGTGCCAGGCTCGTGTCTCTGGGCAGGCTGGGAGCTGCTCCGCTCCTGGCTCAGCATCACGTGCGTGGGAGGAAGGCTCATCCCGGCCGGCGCTCCCTAAACCTTGGAAAGCCGGGATTACCGGCGTTATCCCGTAATTGAGGAAATCCCCTCTCGTTAGCCCCTCCGCGGCTGCAGCCTCTTCCCTTCCCTCCTTCCTGCTAGGGCCAGGGGTCCCCACTGCTCACCCTCTCCAAAGGCTCCTCCAGCCCCGAGTGGGACCCCAAAGCTCTGGGGCGGCCACGGGGCTCGTCCCAGCCCCCAGCCCCCAGCGAGAGCCGCGGGATCAGAGGGGCTGGGATGGGTTTTCCCTCCCTGCTCTCCGGGAGGAGCTGCCCGTGTTTGCTCCCGACTGCTCCGGGGGAAGCTCCCTCTCCTGCTCCCGGTTTTCTCCCGGGTGGAGCTGCCAGCAGGAGCCTGCGGTCACTGCCGAGCCTGTCCCTGTCCCTGCCCCGGCCCTGGGGAGGAGGAGGAGGAGGCTGAGACAGCCGAGGAGCTGGGGCAGCACAGAACCCCCCGGTGCACCCCTCGATTCAGGGGATGGCAGGAGTGCTGCAGCACAGCCAGAGCAGGAAATCCTCGGGCTGGGGGAGCACCCTCCCTGCCCCAGGACGTGGTTCTGGCTCTCACTGCAGCTCGGGGCAGCGTTTTCACACTTTTCTGGTGGAAAGGGCTCCAGGAGGTGCCACATGGCAGAGCTGAAGTGCCAGCACAAGGGTTGGGGCACGGGGAAGGGACACGGAGCCAGCAGAGCTCAGCACAGCCTCGGGGCTGGCAGCAGCAGCAGCCCTGGTCCCAAAGGGTGCTCCCTGCTCCTCATCCTCCTGGAGCCTGCTTCACCCGGGGGAATTGCCTTCTCACCTCGCCTCAGGGG